AGACGCGAGGCCGGGTGTGTTGACGTGTATGTTGTTGTACGGAGTGAACGAGGGTACAAGGGAAGCGACTGGTCGGGTGACAGCGGCTGTGTTGTGAGCGAGAAGAAGGTGGTGTGTAAGGATGAATGCGGGGGACAGTTGAAGGTTGAGTGTGGAAGCGAGGAGGTTGATTTTGGGACTGGAGGCACGGGAGATAGAGAAATAAAGAATACTGTAATAGCCTCAATCGTGGTGTGCTTTCTTTGAGATCCAGACGCCCTCACACTTTTGATAATGGTGTAGTAAAACTTTGTCCAGAAACTTGGGATAATGCTGTATTTACGACTTGACCCTGAGAACTAATGCTAAGTACACATTTTTTGTGTCTTGGATCTAGACGTTGGTGCCATAATAATCTATTTAATCACTAGCCGACCCGCGGTGTATTTTCTACTTTTCAGTTATCCATAATTTGTGTATTTGTGAACAACTAGATATGTGCCCAATGCTGCATACAAACGTTCGCCCAACAACTAGATATGTGCCCAATGCTGCATACAAACGTTCGCCCAACAACTAGATATGTGCCCAATGCTGCATACAAACGTTCGCCCAACAACTAGATATGTGCCCAATGCTGCATACAAACGTTCGCCCAACAACTAGATATGTGCCCAATGCTGCATACAAACGTTCGCCCAACAACTAGATATGTGCCCAATGCTGCATACAAACGTTCGCCCAACAACTAGATATGTGCCCTAATGCTGCATACAAACGTTCGCCCAACAACTAGATATGTGCCCTAATGTTACAAAAGTTGATCCAACAATTAGATATGTGTCCTAATACTACACCCCACACGATGTCCAGTAACTGGACCGACCACCGAGTTTACACCCGATATCTCACGTGACAGGATGTACTCACCACCTCCCTAATCCCCGCACAGCGATCTTAATGACCTGATTAATCCTTCTGTTGGGCAGGGCCAGTAATCCGTGTAATCCTTCCAGAACAAGCTGTACACTGTAGCCTATTTAAGGCAGGCTGCACCCATTACCCTGAATAAACTCTTAGCCAGCCAGTTTCTTTCGGACATTACTTCGTAAAAGGGGGGGGGGGGGTGGTGGTGGCTGGGGGGGGGGGGTGGTGGTGGTGGCTGGGGGGGGGGTGACCTACTGAAGCATCCCCCCCCCCCCGGACGAAATATAAAATAAATATGTTTTTTATTTTGAAAATATATTCTAGAACTGTCCATCCTCATCCCCCCACGGAGATAAAAAAAAAAAAACCTGGGGACACCCTGCGTTACCCCCCCCCCCCCCCCCCAATTTAACCCCTTACAGTAGCCTATTCTAATTACCCCGACCAAACCCCAGAGACAGCCTGCAAACATTACCTTGAATAAACCCTCGGAGAGTATTCAACAATGACCCCCCCCCCCCATTAAACCCTTACAGTAACCTAGTTTAATTACCCCGCCCAAACCACAGAATACAGCATGTACCCATTACCCTGAATAAAACCTGCGAACATAACCTTGAATAAACCCTAACTATGCACTCATTACCCCCCAATTAAAACCCCTTACAACACCCTAGTCCAATTACCCAAAACCCCACAAGACAGGCTGTACCCTGTTACCCACCCCACCCTCCCTTCTCTCGAAACTCGACCCCCGACTAAACCACATCTCCGTCTATCTCACAAGTGACCTTTCACCTTAGTGGGTGAGTGCACTAAATCACTATCCCCAAGGGGTGACCGGGGGACATTTATTTAGTGAAGCTTGTCTGAGCACGTATCTGGAGATCTCAATATGGGGGGACTTGGACCTATCACTGAATGCTAAGTGCCTGGCTAGAATAGTCAAGTGGGGAAGATTGAAATTGGTCAGATCACCGCGCAGGAGACGGCCGTGAGTAGAAGAGAACAAAAAACATTCTCCGTGATTTAATTGTTCAATCAGAGAAAGGGGTGTATGTGTGAGGTGAAGGGGGGGGGGTTGTAGATGTTGAATGAACAGGCAATTCGTAAAACGAGGCGAGAAAATTAGCCTCGGCTCACAGTAGACAATTCAGAGACAGGGGTGTAGGTGCGAGGTGAAGGGGGGTTGTAGATGTTGAATAAACACAGGCATGTCGTAAAACGAAGCGAGAAAATTAGCCTCGGCTCACCAGTACTGTAGACAATCTAGATGGTTTTTTTTCCTTGATAATTCTGATTAGGTGTGGATATGGGTGTGTGTGTGTGGGGGGGGGGGGGGGGGGGGGGGGGCATGGGAGAGAGTGATTACTTTGGTAAATTTCGGACCAAGTACGATTGGTAAAATCAAGATTTCAAATACTATGTTAAGATTTTTCGAGCCAACTCAGCTTTAACTGGTACCCGGAATAAGTCACCGAAGAGTGTAAACCGCCTTCCACACAAACCGATCGTTAAAAAGCAACAATAAACAATCATAATGCTATCCGTTTCGACTCTCGACGGTGTATTTTATATTTTGTGGGAGGTGTAAATATATTGGCAGCACCAGTGAGGTGCACCCTTTGAAGACGGCTAAAAGTAGGATAGTTTTATGGCCGTAAGGAAATTGGCACACGTAAAGGCACTAAGTACAAGCTGTAGATAATTGCTGGAGACTGGAGCTAGCGACACATGAGGGTTTAGTGCTGGAAACAAAAGACGAGTTGTTATTTCCTGACGCTAAACACAGGCACAGCCGCTTCAAGACAGTGGTTGTCACGCTGATGGTATGTGAGGCTAGTGGATGGTATGAGTTTACATGTAGTGTAGGACCTCTAGCTGTAGTGTATGACTGTACCTTTAGTATGTAGTGTAGGACTAGCTGTAGTATTCTAGCTGTAGTATGTAGAGTAGGACTTTAGCTGTAGTGTATGACTGTAGCTTTAGTATGTAGTGTAGGATTCTAGCTGTAGCTGTAGTATGTAGTGTATGACTCGAGCTGTAGTGTGTAGTGTAGGACTCTAGTGTGTAGTGTAGGACTCTACATCTAAGGTGTAGTATATAACTACATCTAGTGTAGTGTACGACTCTACATCTGATGTGTAGTGTAGAACTCTAGCTCTAGTGTGTAACGTATGGCTCTGTTGAACCGCTTGTACAAGCAGAAAGTTTTGACAAGTCAACGTCTATGTTATAAATTCATAAAATAACTACCTCTAGTCTGCCATGTAAATTGTAAAGCTCATCTTTTGAAAGTCATTAAAATCTTTACATGTGAAAACATTCGCTCGATGCAACTCAAAAATTAAAAAGTTCGCTTAATTAATCAAAAAAATTAAAAGGTTAATAATTAATAAATAGGTCAATGTATTAAGGGAATTTGAAAAAAAAATAGCGCTTCGAGCAAAGTTCACCAAGATACAAACATACATATTTTAAAAAAATGAAATGTTAGTGGCATAATTACTTTCAGAAAATAACAAGGCTACGCGTTTCGTTTTCGTTGATTAAATTAAACGAATTAAAGTAACGGACATTTTTATTTCTGCAGGTCATTCATTGTAGAGGTCTCGTGAGTACTCAGTAAAACTTATGTTCATGAAACATTCACGACGACTGTCCCTGCCCCCCCCCCCCTCTCCCCCCTCCCCCTATAAACTCCATGTTTTACATCAAAAGATCAAGTGAACGTACACAAAACACATTGATAATGAAAGTAGAAACAATTGTCTAACATTGTGGGCGTCAACTTGTGGACAGGCTGCATGCACCCCGTGGTAACCCCGCACTTGTTTATAAAACATGTTCCCATCTATTATTGGGAAAAACAAACATTCGAACACTATTATTGTTGTTCATACATCGAATCTATTTTAGAACTTTTAAGACATACTGAAGCCATTTTGTTCTCTAGGAACTATTCCTTGTATATGAATGCGTATGCGTATATGTTTGCCAATCAAAGCTCGATTTATTAAGGAGCATATAAAACTATTCTGATACTTATTGCTGACATATATATATATATATATATATATATATATATATATATATATATATATATATATATATATATAAAACATATACCTAATACTGTAAGTACAAAACTGGGTGTTTCGACCTAACGTCTTCACCAGAAATGCCAACAAAAAACATAAACTACAAACCAGGGCAGACAATGTTGCTCATTATCAGCTAATGAGGTGTCTAATAAAGAAAAAAAATGGGCAAGCACGCAAAAATTGAATTAATAAATTAGCCTTTAAGCCCTCCCCTCTTCCAGTCTGTTAGAAAAGTAATCTGCTGAATGCAAGCATTTCGACGTCTACATTTTGTCAGGGTATACAGGCCTAAACGTGAACACCCCGCCCCCTCCAGGGGAGGCGATCCCTACAGCTAACACCTATTCTATCTAAGGGAGGCGACCCCTCTAGCTAACATCCATCTAGGGGAGACGACCCTATAGCTAACATCCATCTAGGGAAGACGGACGACCCTAAAGCTAACATCCAACAGAGGAGGCGACCCCTAGAGCTTAACACCCACTCAGGGGGTCGACCCCCATAGCTAACATCCACTCAGGAAAGGTTAAAGATAGAAGGAACGAGGGGGGAAATGACGATGGTAAACAGATATTCTGTACACGATGCTTGTTTTCTATACACGTATCTATTTTTTCCCCCAAACAAAATATCACGTGCTAAAGAAATTATAAAAAAATTAGGGGAAACTGGGAAGAGTTTGAATATACACGCCTAAAGCGCTAAGATAAATAGCTCATTTGATCACTTTTTTTCTAGCCAATCAGAAACTGCTGGGGGAGGTGGGAAATAATTTTCATGGAGTAATCCTCATATGTAAACCAAGTTATTTCCCTTGATGGTAGTATTTTATTATTTCATTTTCTTAAATTAATAAAATATTTTTTTTGGGAGGAGTTAGGAAAGGTTTTGTAACGCGGGTTCTGATTGGCTGTGTTAAAAAATGTGTCAAGAAGCATGATGTAAGAAACCGGAAGTGTGCAGTTCTCATGCAGAGGAGTCAGACCTCACCCTCTCTGGTAGACGCCGATGTGTAGGAGGATGGCAGTGGGCCGAACCGTACTGGATGGGGGGTGAAGGGGGGAGAGAGCAAGGTTTCAGGTTAGGTGGCACTCAGTTCACTCACCACAGCGTACACATGGCTTAGACGTACCCTCATACCGCTATCACGTACCCAACTCTACTAGTGAGACGTACCCCCACTGTCGCTACGTACCCAACTCTACTATTTAGACGAACCCCCATTACAGCTACGTAACCAACTCTACTATTGCGACGTACCCCCATTACTGCTACATACCCAACTCTAATTGAGACGTACCCCCATTTACCGCTATGACGAACCCAACTCTAATTGAGACGGACCCCCCATTTACCGCTATGACGTACCCAACTCTACTATTGAGACGTCCCCCCATTACTGCTACGTACCCAACTCTAATTGAGACGTACCTCCATTACCGCTAAGACGTACCCAACTCTACTGTTGAGACGCTCTACTATTTCTACATTTATTGTGGTCTGTGTTCTTGTTATGATTTGTAAGCAGCGATACGACCCCAAGCTAAATCCTGATGCTAACCTAAAATTAAATGTACTGTCACATAGCGCCTAACCTAATTCTTAAATTTGAATACATGAATAAATTGCTATTAGTATCGCTGTGAAAATCTAACCCCAAATTGTCTACCCCCAACATCAAACATTACAGTCAAATATCAAACTGAACCGGATTCAAACCGAATCGCTAACATAAACCTAAGCCGCAACTGACCCATATCTCTATAGAGAAGTACGTCTAAGCCTGCATAACGCAAACTATCTTACAACAACTTTTTTGCCATTTAATAACTCAAAACGTTAAAACATTAAACAATCTTTATAGAAATTTGTAATGCAAAAAATAAAATACAATTCATCATTCATAATTAGATTCCTTTTTATGTATAGTGTCTTTTTTTATAATTTTTAGTTCAACATTGATTTCCTATAAAGTAAGTTGGATTGCTCCTTGCCAATACAAAAGCGGAATATATTAAAATTCTTTTAAAAAAATAATATTGCATTCTAAACATGACATCCTGGTTGAAATAATGAATCATTCAGTCTAGTGCCACTACTATAGTGCAACTTCAATGACGCTAAAAGCAACATTATCTTTATCTTCACATTGTAATAAAACCTAACAGCCTTATGCGTACGTACAAGTAAACATGTGTGTTCTGGGGGTCAGGGGTCACCGAAAACCTACCTGAGTTCTTGCTGTACTGCCGGCCGTCCCCAAGTTCAAGGTCCACCTCACCGTCGTCCAGGTTCTCGATCTTGTCGCCGTTGTCGTCCGACCCCTCCCCGGGGTCGTCCAGCGAGTGTTGTTTGGGTAACGACGGCGGCAGGTCGCCCGGCTCGACTTTCTTCACGTTGAACCGGCCGCCCACCTCCGTGACGGTGGGTTCCACAGGCGGGTTCAGCGGTTCCAGGACTTCGGGATCTTCCTCCATGTCCGCAGATAGTCCAGCGGTTCTCAAGTGGTGAGTCAATAGTTAATCTAAGTACGCCGGAAGATGCCAGGAATATAACAGTTGGTTCGCGTGAGCTGTTCACAGGTTTTTAAGATGGCTAACACATCACATCCCGTGGTTAGGAAAATTTTCGTTTGCACATCTCTTTGGCACAAAACTGAACAATGTTTTTTATTAATGTAGAATAGAGATAATATATCACACACGTTAATTTTCTTATTAATTATCAAAAGCACACGAAATTGCAAATGGGTAGAGGGGGTATATATCAATGGGGGTGTTTACCTCACAGGGGTGTGGTGGGGTCATTAGCTAAGGGTAAACTGGGGGGACAGGTTGTACACACTTAAGCTATCGTTAACTGGTATATGTACACAATACAGAAAAACCTAACATTATGTCAGACATATTGGTATCGTTAACTGGTATCTGTACACAATACAGAAAAACGAAACTTGATGTTAGACACATTGGAGGCTAAAAAACAACTTGCGCTTGTACAGAATCAAGACACGCAATTGATGTGTCTGTACATAATCAAGATTCAATGCGGATGTGATTATTTTAAAGTACTCCAGGGACACATTCAACACATCAGACAAGGAAGCAACACTGAAACCTACTGGGACCTAAAACAACACTGAAACCTACTGGGACCTACAGCAACACTGAAACCAACTGGGAATTACAACATCATTGAAACCAACTATGAACCATCAGGACGCCCATTAATACTGGGACCTACAACAGCACTGAAACCAACAATGAACCATCAGGACGCCCATTAATACTGGGACCTACAACAGGAATTAAACCATCAATGAACCATCAGGACGCCCATTAACACTGGGACATTAAACAACACTAAAAATCGACTATAAACCATCAGTCTATCCACATTCGAAGCTCCACTGCTAACGCCCATCCCGTACATCTCAAATCGCCCCTACAAGAGTCATTGCAGTCGCCACAGTCGCCGCGATAAACAGATATTTACGTTTCGACTAAAGTCTAAAATGACTGCCATCCCCCTCGAGAGGCCCATGTGGCCAGCAGACCAGCGTATGTTCTTTCCATTAATTATTTAACTTTCAATTAAACGAAACCGTTTCTGCAGAATTTCAATTAAAAAACAACATGGTTTACAAGGTGGGTGGGGGGTAGGGTGGGGGGGGGGGGGCTCTCAGGTCTATTTTCTTTAAAAGCAAATTAAATTAAACGTACAAGATCGATGAGGCGGCTGGCAGAGGCGATAGCACGTTGGATGTTTTAACGATAGGAAGACGATTGAGACTCGGTCAGACAAAAGCTAGACTAGAACATGCACAATACAAGTAAAGATATGGGATCCGGTAAAATGCGATCCAAAACGTTTCTAACGAAAGGTGAGACAGCCATAGGTACCAAGGGAGGGGAGAAATGTAAGCATGGCTTAAAGCTAGCCTACACAGATGGGTAGTATTTTGATCCAGAGTTCCACACAGATTTAAAGTGTAGAGAAATGTAAGCTTGGCTTAAAGCTAGCCTACACAGCTGGGTAGTATTTTGATACAGAGTTCCACACAGAGTTATCATGTGGAGAAATGTAAGCATGGCTTAAAGCTAGCCTATACAACTGGGTAGTATTTTGATACAGAGTTCCACACAGAGTTATCATGTGGAGAAATGTAAGCATGGCTTAAAGCTAGCCTATACAACTGGGTAGTATTTTGATACAGACTTCCACACAGAGTTATCATGTGGAGAAATGTAAGCATGGCTTAAAGCTAGCCTATACAACTGGGTAGTATTTTGATACAGACTTCCACACAGAGTTATCATGTGGAGAAATGTAAGCATAGCTTAAAGCTAGTCTACACAGCTGGGTAGGATCTTGACAGAGAGATCCACACACAACTAAATATTGCTAGAGGAGATGCACCTGAGGCGGAGACACGTAAAAAAACCCACAGACTGCATGATGAAAAGATAGGTAGGGCAGGGACATATACAAATACAGACTGCTTGTTAGGATAAGTTAGGGTATAGACACACAATTAAGGAGTGATTTAAAAAAATGTAATTAGGGATGCATGATAAAACAGACCGAGGAAATAGAGGTAGGAAAGGTGAATGCCAACAACCAAACACTGAACACTATCCCCTTTTTCCAATACAACTTGTCAACCAGAGGAATCGCTTCATCGTCCATCTGTTATCTACTCACTCGCTATGCCGGTGTCAGAGACAAGTACATGACGGTATCGTTTAATATCCAGTTATCTACACACATCCGATACCAGTGTCAGTGACAAGTACATGACGGTATCGTTTAATATACAGTTTTCTACACACGTTCGATACCAATGTCCAAGACATGGACTTGACGGGTATCGTTTAACTATACAGTTATCTACATACGTTCGATACCAATGTCAGAGACATGGGCTTGGCGGTATCGTTTAACTATCTAGACACGATCGATACCAGTATCAGAGACGTGGTATCGACTCTATCGATTAACAATCAAAATTCCAGCTAAAAAAACGTTCAAGTCTCTCATCTCCTAACTAAAGCCCTTCTGACGTAGTGTAGCCTACACAATTTTAAATTACAACCACAATTTTCTCTTTGAAACTTTATAAACTTTTATCCAATGAAGCAGTAAAGAGAAATAGTATACAGTTATTCGAATGATTATCATTGCTTAAATGTTAAACGAATTGTATGTCAGAGAAAAGTAATCACTGATTAATAATGCACCTTCGGGAAACATTAAGCTTAATGAGGGAGAAAAGGTGAGAGTTGTGTTAATTAATTAAAATAACTCTAACATGTGTTAGTGCGTATGTGCTTATGGGGTTTGAAAGGGTGGGTTAAGTATGCGCCAATTAGCGGGAAGGGGGAGGGAAATACGGAACACTACAACAAGGTAGGCAACATCTTACATGGCCAACACTTGTTCATATTTTAATTTGACATCAAGAGAAAATAAAATAAATTTAAAAAAAAACAACTTTTATAACAACATTTGAAATGCAGTGAAAATAAACTAAAAAAAAACAAATCAAACAGCAACGTATAATTTTGTTGGCCGAAGAAATATCTGAAACGCTTATGTAGCCGAAATTCTGGAGAATTCTTTTAGCGATGTCAACACGAAAGACTGAAACGGATTGGAAAACCTGAGTCAGAACAAAAATACGCGGGGGAAAAAATAAGCAAAGAAAAAATAAAAAAATAAAACAACAAAAAATAAAATCCTTTCGAAGAAGAGGGGTGGGTGGAGGCTGGTAAAGTGAGTGATGATCACACAGGTAGGAGAAGACAATCCATACAAGCAAACTAACACGAGCTACACAAGAGCCGAGTGAAATGCGATCATTTCAGCACGCTTCCAAGTTCAAGTTTATGAAATCTGACAACACAGTTTCAACTCGAAAAAAAAAATATATTTCAAAACGTCGTGCAACCACTTTTTTTTCTCTCTTCATCATTGGCAAAATCCCAGATCTCGTTGCTGCGAGAAGAGAATACGTCTTCTAAAAATAGACCCATCTTTTTATTCTCCGTGTGGTAGTTTAAAAAAAAAAAGAAAGATGGAGGCAATCAACACCACAGCAAACGCAATCAACCGCCGATTCAACACAACTCAAGGGGACTTAATTTCGTTCCATAACGGTCAACTAAGGGGAGGTAATAGTTCATGACGTCAAATCAGGGGAATTAATATTTCCATAACTTGCAAAGGTCTAGAAATTTGCAGGAGTTTAACAAGAACGTCTGCTAGCATTTTTTTGGCTCCTGGCATTGACAGGAATTCTAAACGGTTTCTATTTTTTTCTCCACCATATGTAGTATTTTTAAAGCTAGCTTCAATTAATTTGATTGGTATTCAAATTTCACAAAAGCTCAGATACATGTAATAGCTCTGTGTGGTAGTATCACCTAGTAGTCTAAAGACATACTGTTGTCCAATGTTCAGAAGGGCTGAGGAGACAGTTTCCAAGTTCACCTAAAGAAATGAGTCCCGAACATTAGGCTCAAGCTGGTTGGCTAAACCGGAAATTGAACAATCAAGATAAGGCGGGAGAGGGAAAAAATAGATTCCACCAGTCTTAGGGGACGGCGTGGTGGGGCGGTAGAGCGTATGATTGCTAACTCTAAAGGTCCCGAGCTTGGACCCCAGGGCACACGAGACTCGTTAGCTGTGTACAGCAACCTATCTAGGAGAGAAAACTTAATCAATGAACTGCTGCCTTGTAGTTTGTTCTTTCTTGGTTGAGCTAAGGCTATGGAAGCAAATCCAGGCTGAAGTCGGAGTTAACAGGTCATTTCTGCGAATACCATGTTGACTTTTGATTCTTAATTATGCTGGAGGAAATCTCCTATAATAATACAACAAAGAATGAGGAAAAAGAACCAGTTTGATCCCGGGTTAAATGTTCAACCAAAAAGCCTGGTGATCGTTCTACCAATCTTTCAACAAAATGCCATTTCACTGTATATTTTTTTATTCAAGTATTCAAGGAACCTCATTTAAAGTGTTTTCTAAACCCCGATATGCAATGCTCACACGAGAGTAAACTGTATTAGGATGAAGACCTAAACATTTCTGACACCCATATATCCGAACAATGGAACCCCTGGGTATCAGCCCGGAGGTTTCGTTCACCCCCCCCCCCCCATGCATCGTGTCACATGGTTTGGAACATAAAGGGCTGTTCAATCTTCGGATCCGTCCTCCCAATTTTCAGGGGTGGCAAACGCTCCTTCTACCTCCGTTCCCAAACTCGTATACGCTTAACTGTTTACAGATCTATAATATTATAAGTAAAAAGATTTGGACTCTTAAGAAAAGATCTAACCTAAAATTATTATTGAAAAGAGCTAAATTTATCAACGAACGAGGGCTAACATGTCGCAAATCACTGCACTAAACAAACAAACACTTTAGAATCAAGAGATCCAGCCTTTCTTTACAATGGCTCTTGTTTATCTAACGTATGGGTGCAGGGCTGCTCGGGTTGTTTGTAAACAAATGCAAGGGCCGTGGGTGTACCTAGCATAGGTGTTAAAGGTTAGAGGTCGAAGGTTAGATTTGATGGATCGATAAGTCACAGGTTAGGTAATAATCCAGGTAAGACAAGTATCACTACGTGTGTCAGTGGATGACGC